AAAATAGCAGGATATTTAAATAAAACAGAACATCTGAAGATGGTGGTTGGAACATGGACCTAAGTTTCGGGCTATTTTAGCACTGGTCAGCAAGGTGTACTTGCAATTTTGAGGGAGCATCACTTCCCTTCCATCAACCAATCGTAAATACAACTCAGTCCTACAAGAGGTCAGTCATAGCCCGGATAGCTCAGTGGTAACGTCTCTGACTGTGAAGCTGGGTAACACGGAATAGAATCCATCAGGGAGCATTAGTTCCCTCATGATTACAGGTTTACCTTTCTGACGAGTGTCAAAATAGCACAAAACGTAGGTCCAGGGTTTCCTGTTGATAACCACCAACCACCATCTCATCCCAACATAGTACATGTAATGTCAAGTTACCTAGACTAGTGACCATATTGCAACTTTGTCGATAGGATTCGATCTATATTAAGAAAGATCTGACATATATAACATTGAACACTACCCAATGATCAATCAGTTGTAAAAGTACACCTTCAGTAATGTCTGTTGTTTATATTTCAAATAGTCACATCTATTCTTCTATTCAATTGTTTATTTATGATTCAAATAAATAACATAGTTTTATTTTTTTCCTTTTTTTGGAGGTGCTGAGTGTTATGCCCGATAGGGATAATCAGTGGCAAATTTTGGGATCTAATTGTAACTTGGGCATATGAGGATCCAACAATGTTTCATGGGGTAGGATGACCCCGGAAAACTTAAAAGCCGGATATCAACTCCGGATCTCCAAAAAAGGGGAGGTGTGTTATGCCCCGATAAGAATAATCAGTAGTAATTTTTGGGATCCATTTGTGGATCAATACTATACGTATACTTTACCGTGAAATTATTAATTAACTAAACTATTCTTATCGATTAAATGTTAAATATTTCTATGGCAGTCGATTGACTAAATCATCGATTAAATGTTTAAAAATACTTCCATGGTAATATCGATTATATACATATAATTGATATAAATACTTTTGAATTGTGATTGTGGATCGCTGTGTGATCGCTCGTCTCTAGCTGTTTGCAGAATATACCTTCCCATTCCAAGCTTGGACTTCTCCATCTAGTTAGCGGGGCAGGGATGCATCAATTAGCTAGCTTACTGGTCTTTCGTCACTGAGTCTTTGTTCTCGTTCACAGATTAAGTGAACTCGTGACAGCATCAACCCTAGCAGTAAGATGATAAGAGTTTTCACCTGATACACTTTATTATTTCTAATTTTTTTAAAATTTTTATTCTGATTAAAAATTTTCCTCTTTATTTTTTATTTTATTTTAATCAAATAATGCACTTTTAAAAGATACTTTTGACTTTTCTTTTCCCTAAGAAATAAGAAATTATGAGCTTAAATTGAACTTGGATATTACATAAATTTGTTTCTTTTTTTCTTAAAAAAAAGAAAAAAAAATTAGTTTCTGACCTAATTAATTATTTTTTTTTAATTTTTGCAAATGTTTCAAAAAATTGTTATCCTAATTGGATGATAATTGAAAGTTGTTGTTGCTGTTGTTGTTTTTTTGTTATCTGAAATTTTGTTAATATTCTTTTCTTTTCTTTTCTTTTTTTTTTGAAGGACATATAACTTTCAGTCAGGGTTTTTCTTTGTTTTTTTTCCAAAAATACTACTTACCAGTTGATTACAAGTATTATATGTATTATGAATTCTATTTGTTTAACTAAAAGGATGTATTTGTTATGTAAACAGTTTTCATTTTCATTTTATTTAATGCATTCACTGAATGATAGATAAATTTTTTATTTGTTTGTTTTAATTCAAGTAATGGATAAGTTTACTTATTCTCAATTTAGATAGAAGGCTATGGGTTTATGTATTCGTCTATTAAAAAATAATTTAATTATTATTTAAGTAAAGGTTCAGTGTTCATGCGCGAAAGTGAAAAGTCCTAGGTTCGAATTTTGCGGTGGGCAGGATCGTGGATGCTCACTACTGAAGAGTCCTATACTAGGATGAAACGGCCATCCAGTGCTTCGACGTTTTCCATGGTGGTCTAGCTCCAATTGACTCATGAATTCAATTGTTAAATAAAATACACGTGTAGATTATTCAATGTAAAATAAAAACTCCGAAAGTTCTGTTCCGTACATAAACACCATTCTAAATGAGAATAAATTTCCAACCGTTAGATCTCATAGTAAGTACATTATTTCATAAACATTGACTTATTAACTCAGTGGTCTATATTATCAATTCTGTTATAAGGCAAAATAAAACGATCATTTAATCTTTGTTACTGTTCAGTGATATTTGGGCAAACAGCAATCGTTGTTACAAACCTATTTTAATTATTAATAGAAAATTTAAGTCTGTTATTGACTATTATTATCCTTAATTGACCGTTTTTTTCGTAGTAATTCATTAGTAAAATTCAACTCGATAAGATCATCAGTTGATCAAATGACGTTGAAAATTTCCAAAATAGTACATCACTTTGAGATGGTGGAGAAGATTTGTAGCTCAGGTGGATGGTTTTGATGGAATTTTCGCTCCGGCTCCAAGGACAAAACTACATCAGTACATCACTTTATTTTTTCTAGTTTCCACAAACAAAGTTATTAAGTATGTTTACAAAAGCAAATTATCCTATTGAACTTCTTCATTTAGTTGTCTCAAACAGAGTAAAAAATGGAATGCAATAATTTAATTAATTGGGTGAAAGTATTTGAAGGAATTGTTATACCATATTTTCTTGTTAGTACACTATTCAACAAAATCTGTAGAATCAAACTACAGTTTACTACAATGTCTAAAAAATTTCCAATTTTGATCTTCGATAGATAACAATTAGAGACCGGAAAGTGCTAAATAGTTGTTCAGACCTTCTATTAAGATTCTCAACTGTGTTTACCCACGATCTCTATACTAATATAAAATATTTGTATAGCTCCTCTTAACTCCGACCGGAGTCCCTCCGGGGGCTACTGCCTGTCCCAAGCCCGGATAAAGGAGGAGAGTTTTGCATGGGGTTAGTGACCCCATCCCATAGAAAACCAACTCGCTAAAAAAACGCTAACTAGAAATAGCCCCCCTTGGTGTTCAGTGACTGTTCAAGATCAGTTCGTAATTTCATTTACAAAGCTCTACATTCTTCGAAATCCACATTTATTAATGTCTATTCTTTTTATTAGCTCATTTCAAAAATAGCAAAATAGTTTTCTCTACGAGTGAAAATTTCTTCAACCAAAAAATATTATTTCAGTAAGTTTGACAGTATGAGTTTTTAAACAACGTGACTACACAATGATACGGTTATGAATGTTTTCTATAGGAAACATTTTACAGTGCTCTTTATTTTAAATGGATTATTGTTTAAAACGTAAAACGTTTTATAAAGTATAATACTCCCACATATTTTACCGTAAGTTTTGTAATCATACGGCCGTACAGTTTTCTAAAGAATTTAGATAGCATTCACTTAATTTGATTTTGCCAAAGCGCAATTTAAATGATGGTGATTATTCACACACCTTTATGAATTTTCATATTATGGATAGGTATTCAATATCTCACCATCTCCACTGTGCATCATTTCGTTTCGCTTTGCTCTCTTCTATTCGTTCCCTTTTCTTCGTTTCCTTGATTGTTTGTCCAGATCAACGATTGTATGAAACATAAGTGTTCGAAATCCATTCTTGTATTTAGCTTATTTGATTCCGTTATTCACTAACGAAATTTGATCTGATAATTATATACAAGGGTAGCTGGAATGTATATTTCAACAACAATCATTCGTACTATCCAATTAGTGTCAGATATAAGGTCACAAAAATTCTATTTATTTTTACATATTCAGTTAGTTCAAGTTCATATTATTATCAATTGATCTATTTAGGTCATAATAATCCTTCAGTACAATATACGTTTGACATCAGCATTTGACTTTGTAATACAGTATTATATTGAAAAATTAAAGAAAACACTACAGTCATTATAAGTTTCCATTAGATCTTTTAAGTTTACAATAGAGATCCAGGAAATGAATGAAAGAATTTAAAAGAAATTCATTGTCATGTTTATACTGTTGATTTTTATAAACCGGAATCTTTTTTTGGTATTTGAAAAGTAGAAATCAGCATTTCATTATATCTATATATGTAACCTTTGAAGTAGTTCTTGATTGAATTTAATTGATACCGGAATCAATGAAGGTCGTTTATGTAAACTACGTATAACATTTTATTGTATGTCTTAAGTACAATATTATTATTAATAGCATTATTAATTTTAGCTTAATTATTTATCATACTATATATAACAACATATTCAATGTAACTGGTCAACATATTTTGTATGACCTGATGGTAATAACCATGATAAATGTCCTATTAAATACATAATTCATGATAATACATTACAGAGAAACTAATACTGTAGACATTGAATAGGAACACGAAATCTGTTAAGATGATTATATTACAATGCTTGACGGTTAAATTTTTAATCTGAGATATCTGGTTGAACTGACCTAATATCTTTAGATTAACCTATTAAACAATATGAAATTGACTAGTGGATGAATAAAAAGTTCTTTTGACATTGGTTAATGAATTAGCGATCTTAAGTTGTGTTAACTGACATTACACAGTTTTACACACAAAAAGACTCAATATGAGCAAATGTATTACTTGTTATATATTATGTTGAAAATTGAAGTTATTCTACACTACATAGGAGTAACTCACATACATAATAACTTAATCTCATGGATAGTAGATAGAAATAATCACAGTGAACTTTGACAAAACCAAAACAATTATTAGATGACTTCATCAATGATCTCTTGAGTAGACTGAATATTTTCTAATGTCATTACGTGAATTAATTAGAAAACATCATAAAACGTATAGTTCATAAATATTCGTCTGAAAGAATTTGGATGAATAGACAATAGCTGATATATAAGATATTCATGTTATAACCAAAAATATACAATAGTTAGTTTAACATATTAAGTTAGTTTACCTGTCTATATGTATCTTCTATGGTTGGAATATATGTCTCACGGAATGTTCCACGTACAAATCGAAGTACAAGTGATGTTTTACCAACTCCTCCTGAACCATATACAGCTACACGATAATCTGTTGGCTGTTCTGGCATTGTTCACAAGTTCTTCTATTACAAAAAATAAATATATAGAATAAGTGAAACACGTTTTCGTTCATTTTTCTTCTAAAAATACATTAATCATAATTAATACATAATGTTTATTTAGATTTGGATGACTTACCAACTTCACCATACTTTGAATAAAGAAAAGTTTACCTGTTGTTGTGTCGGTTACTATGTTATGCCCACATAACTTATTCTAGCTTCTGGACTGGCCAATTTATTCACTTTTCTCAAGCTACATTTTGACTTTCTTAATTGTTCACTTATCAACCCTGACTATTTTTATATGAGCATATATGTGTGTACATCTTATCCTATTCAGTCCATGTTTGTGGCATATTTTTGTGTGACTATAAATATTGATTAACGCTTGACTAAATGGAGTTGGCTCATATGGTTTCTCCACTGTCCGTCCTTTTGTTACGCTTTACTCTCTCCTCTTCGCTTCATTCGCTGCGATTATCTGATTGTCTGTTCCGATCAACGAGTGTACAAAATATACATATTCAAAGCATCCATTCACATATTTGACTTATTTAATTCCGTTATTCATTATAACTCGATCTAAGTCAATAATTATATACGAGGATAATCAGAATGTATATTTCAATTCATCTTAAGTCAGATCTCGGGTCACTTAAGTTCTGAGTCTATCGAATACATCGTCTGACCTAACTGACGTTAAAATGAAGGGACCAACTAAACTGTGTAAAGTTGGTTAATAACAAATTTTATTACATGTAAAACATACCGATTAATGCTAAAGTTTTGGGAAAATGTAAACATTAGAAAAACACATCAGTTGATCTATAGTTTTAAACCTAATATACATGGCAATGAAAAACAATTTCTTCATTTTAAAATATCAAAAAAAACTTGACAAAATTCCATTTGACTACTAAATAGAAACATTTCATTATTAAATAGTAATGATCTAAGTTCTTCCCTTGAAATTAAAATCACAGATTATTTTGACAATGAGACATTTTATATTTATTTATAAAGAACGACAACATTTAAATACTCATAAAAATACTCCCACAATTCTAAACATTTCAACGTGTAACCATGTAACCAAGTCCTGTAACCCATCTTTAAGAGTTATCATCATTACACGGTGCTGAGGAGTCCTATACTAGGATGAAACGGCTGTCTAGTGCTTCTAGGTTTTCCATGGCGGTCTAGCTTCATGCATTCAACTATTAAATTACTGAAATCTCCTCAACCCCTCACTCTTATTATAAAGTATAGTTTCCAAACATTTGATTTATAATACAGCGTGTTGTTCATCTGTATGTTTTATTAAATATCAACTTAAACAGAAATAAATTACACAATGAATACTATTATAGACATTTAACTAAGTTTTTCCACAATTCTCAAATATTCCAACATCTTAAGTAAGATCATCTTACAGTTAGCGATTATATGTAATCATTATTCTACCCGCACTCATATAAGGTTTACAAATATACATATTTATAAATGTCACCTGAAATGTACATTATCACATATTGAAAATGAAATTGATGAAACTACTGATGACTGAAATCCATCAGCAATTGATCTAAAATGACGAAAATTCAACAAGACTCTAAAATTTTTGGTTTGATCTCATTTAAAGTTATAACTGCATATCCTGTTAGGATACCTAAATGATGATGAAATAATGATCTAATGCTTTGTCATTTGAAGTAATTTTTTTGTAATTTTTTGTCAATGTTTAAAATTATTCTCATATTGAGAAAATTCACTTTTAAATGGATTCGCAACTTAAACAATATGATCATTTTGAAATGGTATACTAGATGTAATATGTTGATTAATCAGTATCACATTTAAACATGAAATTACTTAGTTTAGTTAAAGGATGAATTATGTCACTATTGATACTGATTATTATATGACTTCATTTATTTATGATAGTAAAATTGATAACAGTATAGAAACTTTGCTGAAAACGAAGGATGAAACTTTGTTTTAAAATAAATACATAGATGATAAATCTTGTCGACTGAACGCTACTTGTTATATCTAGTCGTCGCTGATTGTTTTATTGGAATCGCTTATCAATTATGCTTGAAACGAGAGACCTCTGCAATTTGCACGACGTGAAAGTAAGAACACAAAAAACTGGTATAAGTGAAGATTTATTAATCTGAAACATGACGACGATGACTACACTAGTCGAAAATACACTCATTTATATATTGATTTGTACACACATTTTGATTAATAATTAGGATTAAATCACATATATGAAAAATACAGTTATAACAAGTCATATGCTAAGCATAGTTCATGTCAATTCAATACAAGAATATTGTATATTATACAGAATATATCATACGGCGAAACAAAAACCAACAGTACATTGAATTAAAATGGAAGTAATGCTGACTTTTCTTCCTGTCGTATCGATAGAGAAACCAGAAAACGTCATTTCTACTTGAAGTTTACGCTGATGATTTTGTTCATCAGAACAGTGATGGCTTTATGATTAAACCATTCAGTTCAGGGAACAAACCTCTATCGATATATGTATAAAACCGCTATTCGTTAAGGGTTATTAACAGAAGTCGAACTATTCCAGAAGCCAAATAAAAATGATTTGAACAACCGCCAATCATTGAATTCAAAAAAAATAAACAATATATCTAAGTTAATGATATCTTTACTTCATCATTACTCAAAACATATTCTAGTTAATGAATTGTAATATTCCCTTTTCTATGTGAACTATACAAATAAAACGCTTTTCAATTATCGCTACTTTTTTTACAAGAAACGAGAACCAATATTGAAATGAGTCAGTCATTTCGAATTATTCTCTTTGCCCTTTTATCCTTCTTAAGTATAGTGTTACATTTTAATTGTTTTGTTCAATTTCGTATACAGACAATGATCTTCTACATTTAAACAAATTTTAGTGAAAGTTCAAACATTCAGTTTACTAGGTTAATGGCTCTTGTTTTATTTATCAAAAGTATTTAAGATTCATTAGTTATCTCATTCTATAACATTTTTGATATGAGGGTGAATAAAACACTTGCACGAAACGGAAACTTCGTATTACAATGATCTAAATTGACATGTTTGCTTGCCATTGAATTTTTATCTAACTGATCACGATATTGTGAGATTCCTGGAATTTACAAAACAAAATCTGTTAATGTTAGACTTTTGAGAGAAATTAAAAGAAAGACATGTACCTATATTTTGTACCGGTCGATGTTTTGATATTTGAATAAATTAATGAGTTTCCATAGATTAAATCTTATGCCTCTCAATGTTAATGCAGTGAACAATCAGACTTTGATGAATTTTATTTGGAAACCAATTGTTGAAAATAAAGCGTTATTGGTTATTATTCAATATTATGAGGTTTAGATTTTGACACTAACTTAACTTCAGTGTAAGCGACTTAACCTGAACAGGTTATTACAAATATCTCAATTATTTATTAAGCTTATGGTCAGTCGAATAGCTCAGAGGTTACAATCTTGACTGTGGCACAGAGTGATATATGTTCCAATTTTTAAGGATATACTAGTATCTTTAAAGTTGTTGATATGTTTTTCTGACTAGTTTCGGATAAAAACTGCCTGTCCCATGTGTTTTATGTTCAGTGTCTTTGAAAATTCATCATCAGAACAACTTGCATCATATTTACATCTTTTTGTCTGATGTTTATTTCGCGAATTTCATTCACGTATGATGCAAAATACTGTAGTTAGAGGTATTAGAAATTGCCTTCAACTTACAGATGTGCTCAGAGTAAAGAACATTTGACATTATCAGTTCTCAATTAGATTATATCACCAACTGATATAAATCAAGAGACCAATATGAATCAGAAAGCACTGACACAGAGTTTTTATCTTAATCTCATATTCTTAATAAAATGACTATCTTATTCCACTAACCTTTCAGTACATTAGCATCTTTTGCTTTTTCATAATCTTAATTTTTATCCTGTATCACTGCTTTCAAACTGTCTAGCAAATCCATGAAACCTACATTGTAGATTATGACTATGCAGTGACAAGTAAGTGAATTCATAATGGGATTCTGGAAATTCTATTGAGAAGTTGAGGAGTGTTGATTAGGTAAAAAAAGACTAAACAACGTTTCATTTGCTTCAATATATGAAGATCATTGTACAATGAAAATTGACTAACTTAAATAAATTCGGTTTAACTATTTGATGATAATAGGCTCCTTGAATATCTAGATACTTAGATTTGAACCCGAATGTGATAATGGATGCACAGTAACAAATATTGGTAAAGCCGCAAGAAACCCAAAGTTATTTTACAATAAAAAGTGCTCAGAAGCATTAGTAACCTAAATTCATTCTAATTTCATACATAATTCAAATATCAATTATACAATTTAACTAGACTGTAAATGTTTATGAAATTTCAAGAGTTAAGATCATGAGTCAATTGAATCACCATAGGAAACCTGGAAGCACTGGACGGCCGTTTCATCTTATTGTGTTACTCCTCAGCAATGCGCGCCCACGACCCCTTCCGCGGGATTCGAGTCAAGAGCCTATCAGTCTCGGGCCGGGGTCTTGACCAACTAGACCACTGAGCCGGCATTCAACGGTATTAATGTCTAACTTCAACTAATCCACTAATCCACATCCACCATTCTCATCAGTGAGTTACTACCTCACAACTGACCCGGTTTTTCTTCATTCAATATATGCATATCTCATAAAATTTAAATAAACTCAATAAAACATTTGTAAATGTAGACTTATTTAAAGGATAGTACTTTTCATTAGTTCTAATAAGAATCTATCTTTAAAATAAACAGAGATTTATTACATTATACAATGAATATTTTTGTCCTACATCTAGTTTTCACTTAGTCTTTACGTGATCTACATCTTAAAAATAAAAATAATTTTTTAAAACTAAAATCCATATTTCACTAATAATAGATGACATGCAATAGGTAATTATTTTACTATTTGTAAGTGAATGACAGTA